AGTTGAAATCCACTCATCTTAAAGTGGCCAAGTTTGGACAACACTGCACTAATGTGAACTTTCCTACTTTTAAAGCCACTCCTCTTCTCATTGCTCTTACTCACTGAGGCATCCTGGGAAGACTATTTCTGCACTTTAAGTGTCTGACTGCCCAAAGCCACTTCCTGTCTAAATTAAAGGTGAAGGCACGCTTTAAATAAACAGGTCTCCTCTGAAGTTGCAAGAATTAAGGTTTTCTCCTTTCAGGCAATGGCTTCTGTGTTATGCCAAACTGACACCACTCCCTAATGGGAGAAAACTCTTGCAGGTACTTATTCAGCATTATTCTGGTGGCAGGCTATTGGGTAGTATCTATGAATCAAAGCTTGTCAGTTCAGAGCAACCACAGGCACTGAAACCTTGCAGAATGAGACAACCAAGGCCAAACTGAGAATACCAGAGCCAGAATTACATCATGCAAAAAACCAACACATTCTTTAGGGGTAGAGATTTTGGGCACATAAGCACATCACCATTCCATAAAAAGATGCATTATAACAACACATTATTTGTTCATTGGCTGCAGTGCAGATTAACATGATCCATCTGGGTCACCAGCCATTATTTTAACAAGGAACATTCACTTCTTGTTCACCTTTCAGACTACTGGAATATACTGATATACCTCGGTGCTCATTTTTAGTGCCCCCTGCTTGCTCAGAAAGTTGTAATCTGAATCCAAATGAGACTTGAGGCTCACAAGGCAATTGAATCATTCTTTCCTAGGATTTTAAACTCAGTGTAATAATAGAGCCAATGGTAGCTAATTGTGTGGTACACTAAGACTTGGGAGACCCAGATATAAGTCAGCCACAGAAGACACAACCTGTCTCACAGGAGGTTTTGGAGAAGGAGGGAGTATGTGCAAACTGGCTAGAGGAAGGTAGGGATACCGAACAAATAAACCCACAAATAACTGAGGTTTTTTATGCTTAGCATTAGCAGGATTCAACCTTGGATCTTTTACATGTATATGACTTGCAACCGGCAAGTCAAATCATTACAGAATAATAAGTTTAATATCAGAATGCCTTGATTCAAATCAAAGAGGCAGCCGTACAATTACACAGACGGCTTGGGGGAGAAGGGGCATCCATTAAAACTGAATCTACATTTGCATCCATTTATATCATTTGGGTAACGACATCATAATTCATGCACATTCCCTCATTTGCACCCAAATTTGTCTTAGTGGCCAAAGGAAATATTGGTCCGTTGTACTGGACGCCTGCTGAATGGAGGTACGTTAAATTGAGGTATTCCTGAACTTGGACTCTGCGAGAAATATACGGCTCTGCACTTTGGCGGGTAAACCCAAATGTGCAGGTACAAGACTGGAAGCACCTAACTTGGCATTCGTATGTGTGAGAAGGCAGGACGGTGGACCATGGATTAAGTATGCCTTAGCAGTGGGTTGCAGTTGGCAACATAGCTAATACAACTTTGGGCTGCATCAACAGAGATACAGTGTTAAGACAGCAGGAAAGACAATTCTGCTCTACACTGCCCTGGTCAGGTGCCACTTGGAATCCCGTGTCCAATTTGGATCACAGTACAAGAAGGAACCAGATGCTGGTTTGGTCCTGAAGGTGAGGAACTGGAAAAAGTGCAGAGAAGAGCCACAAAGATGATAAGGGGCTTGGAGGCTCAATCCAAAGAAGAGGCAGTCTTCCTCTCCTTGAAGGGCTGTCACAAGGAAGGGGGTGTGGATTTGTTCTCTGTAGTGCCTGAAGGCAGGACAAGATACAGCTTGGCAGAAGGAGATCCACACTCAAAACAAGGAGGAATTTCCTGATTGTGAGAGCTCTGAAGCAGCGGAACAGCCTCCCTCCTGGGGTTGTGGGGGCTCCATCATTCGGAATGTTAAATAAAAATTGGATAACCATTTGTTTGATCTGAGGATTCCTGCCCTGGGTAGGGAACTGGGCTAAAATCGGGTTTTTCAAACTGTGAAACTTTTTTTTTTCATGAATATGTTCTGTGGCCTTAATGAGTTTGAAAGCCTCTGGACCAAAAGACCTCCAAGGCCTCTTCCCAGCCTATGAAACTAGGGGAATTCTGGGAGTTGACGTCCACACATCTTCAAGTGGCCACGGTTGAGAAACACTCCTGTAGACATTTCCTCTTGAGAAGCAAAAAATACACGGGACATGTAGCTGTGGAACACCCCAGGTATGCTGATGACATAGCATCAGTGACAGCAAAAGAGTTTCAATATCCCATATTAATAAAAACAGGACATTTAATTCTTTCCTCCATCTTCCTGGTTGGAGAACATACAGTGGCAGCATGCCCCAAGTACTGGTGATGTTCTAGGGTGCACAAGTCTGAGGCAGCCAGCACGAGCACACACACTCTAGGTCCTGAAGACGCACAATGAAGCAAAACGATGCCTTTACCCACTCACTCAAGGCAACTCCCAACACTGTACCCATTATTTTCCAGAAAGCACCAGAACGATCTTAAGATTCCATTCACAACTGGTACACAATGCTTTAATTGGGCACCAATGACGAATGGAATATTAAGGTTGTTAGTGTGGTAAAATTGCACATCCAGGTACCTGCAACTTACAAAGTTGGCAGCGTCCATAATACCATCTTCTACGGGATGAGTACAATCCAGAGTGAACTTCAGAACTTGCTTCTTTTTTTTACCGCCCTTTGTCGCAAGCTTCTTCTACAGGAGACGGGACAGATTCATTATAGGGGGGGAAAAGGGCAAGAAATTACAGAAAATTCTCTTGATCCAGGTATTGGGGAATCAAGCTTTCTATGCCCATTCTATGCCCAATGTTAAATATTGCGATCCTTTAGGCAGAGAAGTGGTTTAGCTCAGATTAGATTACAACAAATACACTCAGAAATATGGCCAGCGTGCTGAGCTTTGCAGAGGCCAGTTCATGTTTCACACATCGTCAGTATAATTTCTATTTGAACCAGCATTCATTGTTCCCCCAGGCAGGTGGTATGAAGATCACTATCATGAGAGTTAAATGTTTACTCTCCAAAACCTAGCACTGAGCTCTTTGGGAACAGGAAAACACAAAATATTCTGTTCTATTTTCCAACGACCAAAATATAGAACAAATGGCAGGATTACGGAAAACAGAATACACTTGAATTTCACAGTTAGGGCCATGAGACAGATCTAGTGTTTTCCCACAATCATTTTCTCCCATTGTAACTGGAGAAATTCGGATGGTTGGGGAAAAGAAACTGAGTAATCATTAATATAGATCAGTGTTTCTCAACCTTGGCCACTTGAAGATGTGTGGACTGCAACTCCCAGAATTCCCCAGCTGGAAATCTGGGCGCTGAAGTCCACCCATCTTCTAGTGGCCAAGGTTGAGAAACACTGGTACAGACTAAAAATAATAGTTTAGTGTCCTAGAAAAACAGGACCCCGAACACCAGCATGTCTGGAGCTACAAAACATTGCAAGAAGATCCTAATTTTCTCTATCCTTTCGGTCTACCCTGCAGAGAAGGAAAGAGGCACTAGGCGATTCCATGCGTTCAGAAATAACGCACAGATCCAAGCGTGACGCTGCATTTCCACCCTGTCGTAACGTCTTTATCGATACATCCGAATGGGGTGGCTCTGAGCCGTTTTGGAGTGGGCCAGGAGTTGAAAAATTAACAAATGCAGCATAAGAGTGGGTAAGAAACGCAAACCCCGCTGTTTGCCTTTCCTTAAAGCTGGCTGGGGGATTCTGGGAGTTGAAGTCCGCCCCTCTTAAAGGGGCCAAGGGTGGGAAACACGGCCTTAAAGACTCCCTTCCCGTTACAGTTCAAGGAGAGAAGACAGCCACCCGAATCCATCGAGCTCCCCCCAACGGAAACCGGGTCTAAAACCAAGCAAGGGCTTTTTCCTCCCTTTCTGGCCCGCTGCCCAAGGAGGCATCCAGGCAGCCGACGAGAAGCAGAGGCCGGCCCCTGGGCACACGTGTCCTCCAATCCCCCCGCCTGGCCGGGGTCCCCCGGCCCCCC